TCCCGTTGGGCACAGAGAATTTATGTCCTGTGTACAGTCCAATGCACAGGCCCAGCGTGCGACAGCACAGTAAAAGACGAAGCTGGTGGCTTCTGCCACCCGGGAATAGAGAAAAAGGACTTTACAGTTACAAACAGTGTATAAAGAAGCCTGTACCAGCCATTTCAAGCCTTTATTACCAGCATCAATCTGTGTGTGTCTGAGGAGTTTCGGCCATCTTGAAGAGGAGCCCATCTGTTCGTGCTTCTTCATTTTCGGCCATTTTGGAAGACCAGAAGGGAGGGGCTGGCAGCCTCCTTCTTTGCTTCAGCTCTCTTCCCACCATTTTGAAGATCTACTCAGTTTGCAAGTTGCTACATTTCTCCTCCAGCTTTTGCACAGCAGGTCTGCATGGAATTGCAACATTCTTCCCGTCCTTTCTAAAGTATCTACATAGCAAGCTCTGCTAGGTCCTGCTACAGTTTCCAGCAGAAGCAATCTTTCCCGCTCTTTTGAAACAAGCCTTGTTTCTGCTTTGCCTTACGGATTTCTGGAAAGGGTTTTTTGCAATCGCCTTTGGCTTTTTACAGCCTTTTAGCAAGAGTTTGATGTTCATTTGAATTATTGTGTCTGCTATGTTTATTCTCTGCCTTAAAGTGATAAGTTTGAGTGTGCTAATAGCTGTCTTGATATTTGTCTGCTCTATTTGTTGTTGCAATTGCATGTTTATGCTGTTTGCTGCATCCTAATGAAATTGCATTTTATATTGTGTGTTCTATTGACTGTTGGTTATTGATATACTGATTGCTCCACTTGTTATTTCACCTGTATTGCTATACTGTTTGGGCAATTTGCTATCATGGCTCATACCTCAAGCTCACAAAAATCTGAGGGCAAGCCTTATGATCTAAGATCCCACAGTTTTCATGCAGCCTACTTTGATCCCTCCCCCAGAAGGGACAAGGATGGTCAAGCTTCGCCCGTTGGCAGTGTGATCCCAGAGCCGCTTAAGCATTCCCCAAAGGCTTTAAGTGCGCAGAGCAGTCAGGGAGGTGCTTCTGGCCAAAGCAAGCACAGCCACACCAGCAGGAGGCATAGCAGCAGACATGGCTCCGCGTCAGGATCGTCTGTTTCCAGAAGCAGCTCCTCATCTATGGCGGCCCTTTACAAGAGGGAAACAAGGCGTCTCAAACTGCAAGAAAAAATTCTTGAGGCGGAAGCTGAGGCAGCAGCGGCAGATTTAGGCCTGAACTTCGAGCGGGCTCAACTAGAGTTAGAGGTGAAGCAAAAGCAGTCACAAGCCGAATTAGAGGCGAAGCAAAAGAAGTCACAAGCCGAGTTAGAGGCGAAGTTAAAGTTGTTGCGCATCCAGCAGGAGGCAGCGCAGAAAAGAGTCCGTGCCGACATCTTGGCAAAGGCGCTGCAAGGAGAACTGTCTCAAGAAAATGTCAACCTTTTGCCAACGCCTCCAACCACATCTCTTCTGCCAGCCCACGTTGGTTTCCAAAACGGCAACCTGGTGCATGCGGACAGCGACATCACGCCACGCAGACTGGTCGAGCAATTCAGGGCCAGGAGCCCACAGCCATCAACTCAGGTACCCAAGCCTAGCCCAGAAATCAGAGTTTCGCCCATTCCTGAGGCCATAGGTGTTCCTTGGAATGGACCTTCTACATTTCAGAAGAACTTCACCTTTGCCTCTGACCAAACACCCCTTCCGTTCCTTCAGACTCCTCAGTTGCAGCTTGAGTCTTTGTTTAGGAACCCGAGAAAAGATTTGAGGGACAAAGGTGTGGAGAAATTCTCTGACCGGCCAGAAGATTTCCTACTTTGGAAAAAGACTTTTCAGCGAGCCATTCAGAGTTTAAGACTCTCCTCTGAGGAACAATTGACTCTTTTGATCGCCTGGCTTGGTCCAGTATCAGCTCAGCAGGTGAGAAGGATTTTCTCCGCTCTCATCGATCAACCAGACAGAGCATTGGACACTGCATGGACGAGGCTTGATCAGCGCTATGGGTCCAGCACCCAAATTGAAGCCTCGCTGATGGACAGACTTCATCAGTT